CCCCCCCCCCCCCCGCTTCCCTCTTCAGGTGCGTTCTCCTGTCCCCGATACCGTAAAACCTCATTTTTCAGGCTACTCCTCGCTTTCCCTCGGCTCTCCTGGGCTGGCCACCCTCGCCTAAACCTTTCCCACCTTCTTGGGCTGCGTGACTGTCGACCGCTGGTCGGAGCGGCAGAGGAAATGAACCCCGGCCGCGGCAACCGGGGCGTATCTAGAGAAAGAGTAGTCCTGGGTCTGGTTCGTGCGCGTGTCCATGAGGTCGGCCATCTCCAGCCAGTCCATCGCCGCGGCCGCCTTTATTGGAGTGGGACCAACGTCGGTATACACATTGAAACACGCAGGCCTTTCGCGTTGTGATTGTGATGTCGGGTTGGGTATGGGGTGCTCTCTGTTCTAGCGGGGGCGGTCGTTTATGGTGCGGATGGGGGGGCGTTTCTCGGGACTGCTTGTCCTTGCTCCTCTCGCTTCACTTCGGCCCGTTTTGTGCGGTGCGACCGCTTGCGATGCGCTCTCATCTGTTGATGTCTTGAGGCAAAAGCGTCGAAGAGGTCCGAGATCTCTAGCCAGTCCCTTGGCGCTTGCCGCCGCCTCTGTCGTTTTTTCATGTTTCAGCGTTGTGTGGCGTCCTCCGCGTTTGGTCGTTCTCTTGGGATGCGGTAGCGACCGCGATTTGCCACATTGTATCGTTTCGCGTTTGTCTCGCTTCGTAAGCGCTGCCGATATATGGGTGGGATACAACCATCCAGCCTTTATTATTCATCTTTGGCTACAGCATTTCCGGCCTGCTCTGGTCCAACACGTTTCCGGTTTGTTGTGTGCGTGCGTACGTGCTTTGGTACATATCGTGAACCTACCCGAAGCGAACCATCGCATACATCCGCTACAGCAGTTGTCTGCACACTGCGCTGCAGCCATCCGCCACTAATTCGCCGTGCCGAAAATACCGTGCAAATTCAGACGGAACAATTACCTTGCTGAGGGTAGGGTCGTTAAAGCGTACGCCCAAGAAGTTCTCGTGAACTCCCGCGAGGACCTTACTGTGGTCGTTGAAGGCCTGTACCTCCTCAAACACGTCGGCGTCCTTGCGGTCGGCCATCGAGCCCTGGGGACAACGCGTGCACGGACGACGAGACCGTTCAAGAGAACGGGTGTGTACGGTGTGTACGGCGTGTTTGGTGAAGAGACGAAGACGATGGACGCAACGCCACGTGAAGCGCGAATGAACAACCCGGGTACAGTACGCCACCAGATGGTTTCGCTCTCGTGTTTTCAAGAGTGAGTCCTTCTTTGAATATTGTTGTTCGTAGGTTACAGGTGCCGATACTAACGTTTAAACCGTCATTTCAATGAGAAACAACAACAGTCAATTTCAACCGTCATTTCCATGAGAAACAACAACAGTCAACAAGCCGCATGCGTGTGAACACCAAAAGCCAACCCACAGGCCATGCTGGACCAGCTACTGTTCGGGCCCGAGGCCACCTCGAGCATTTCCAAGACGTCACGCACAAGAAGATAGCATTACAACGATGACAACAAACGGCATCCATGGACATTCGGCTTGCCCTGCTCCCACCCCTGCAAGGCAGAAGAATACTACTGATGCGCATCCACCAGCAAAGAGCAACGACAACCACAAAGTCAAACTCGGTGAAAACGGTACCATGCTTGAGACCCTAGAGAACTTGCCTGCTCCCCTCCGAGGAAGAGGCGCCGCTTCGTGCCCGATTTCTTTCGAGTGAACACCGACCGGAGAACTGTGCGGGGAACGAGCACCAGCACGGCAAGGGAGGTCATGAGTGGACTGGAAGTTCTACCGTAAACCAAGCGTGAGCCCGGTCCATCGAAGAAAGTTCAAGGTCAGAACATCGCGCACATGTCGACAAAAACACAACGGCCAGGTGTCAACTGTTCGTGGGCGAGGCCGGTCTCAGCACAACCCCTCCGGAGGCTCACTGCCGGGAGAAGGGCACTTCACCCGAGAAGACGGAGTTTCGACAGCTACGTGGCACAAGAAACAAAACAAAACACAGACATACCCATCCAAACATCCAACCCAACGGCCCAAACCAAACACTGCAGAACCCCACGCCCACCCAGGCAACCCCACGACGCAAAAGAAAAACTAACGATTTGTTTTTTGGCCTACCCGCACGCCCAAGACCCATAACACACCTTCGAACAGGTCCCGGCGCTCGTCCTTGATCCCCTCCGCCACGGCCGTCAGCAGCGCCGCGGAGGCGTTCGTCACACTTCCCGAGGACGCCCGCCTCGCCACGAACTGGAGGGTGTGGAGGCACGACCTGACATCGAGGTGCGAGCGGTCCGCGAGCCTCGTAAGGGCATCCGTGTTGACGGTCAGGCGCTCCGACGTGCAGATAGCCTGCGCGGCCGAGAAGGCAAAAAAATAAACTCCAACCATGGGAACGGTGCGGTGGGATTTTGATCGGGGAGGGGGCGTGTACTGAAGGGGACAGGGGGTTAGGGGAGAGGGTACAACAAGTCGTACATGGTCACAAGAGGAAAAGCATGAAACGGTCTGGTGACCATGTACGGTTGGTTTACAAGTCAACAAACAATGCACAAGTTAGTTTGACTATGTGACGGCGCTAGCCTTCGTGTTGGCCAAGTCTTGCGTGACCTCTTCGAACGCAAAAGGGGACGCCCGAACACCGTACAATTCGAAGCGACAACATCCCCCCCCCGCAGCCCCCCTCCCGATGTTTCCCATCGGGGTTGGGTTGTCGTCGCTTGGCAACGACGTTGTACAACCCCCCCTCGGTGTTTGCCATCGGGATCGGGTTTTCGTCGCTTGGCAACGACGTTGTAAAACAAGCCCATTCACTTCGTGAGCTCAGCAACCAGGTTATCGTTTTTTTTACCTCTGTTTTTTTGCGGTAACCATGAATGGTGGTCGAGTAGATCATGTTGTGTGGGGTCGAGAACCCTCACTCCGCGCAAGGGGGATGATCGCACCACGTTGTGTTAAAATGGTAAAGCATCCTCGAGGCAGTTACACAGTGCTTACGACTGTCTCTGGAAGTAAAAGCATCAGAAAATAAATTAGGTCATACGCAGCTGTCCTCCGTACGCAAGGAAGTAAGCGCGAGATGCCGAACACCCTTAGCAGGATGCAGCTCACCCTTCATGCGACTTGCNAGTACCCCCCGCCCCCCCCCCCCCCCCCCCCCCCCCCCCCCCCCCCCCCCCCCCCCCNATGATGTGGATTGTTCTCAGAGATCACAACACAGAAAAAAAGAAAACACGAAGCACTTGTTATAATAGTCTAAGAAATAAGAGAATCGGGAGGATGCGACAGTCCAAAGGAAGAAGAAATGTCATTTACGAAAATGGACGACTTGGGCCGGTACTTAGACCCAAAAGAAGGGATTGAGGCTCGATCCGATTTTGACGTTTCTTAACAAAGCGCTATCTGAAGGATCGAACGTCCTCCAAGCGAGAGATAACCTCGCCCTCGATGAGGGACGAGGATATGCACGACTCTTTTTTTGGCGGCATCAGATGGACCGCCGGTAGATGGGAGGAATCTATCCATACCAACACCCTGTTGTAGCTGCAGCACCAGACCGCTCGCTACTTCTGCTGTCTGTGCGTCGCTACTTCTGCGCTCAATGTGGTGCGTAGTTCATGCAAAGAGTGGCCCGCAGGCCCGCAGGACAAAAATAAGGGGGTACACGGCCGGAAAAATGGGGGCACCCCATTATCGTATATTCGGCCGGCNCCAGGAGTTGACAGAATACAACCATGTTTCAGCGCAACAACTGTTGGACATTTTTGTCTTTCCTCCACTCTATCGAATCATTGGCCTCTTCACGGCACCGCATCGCCGTCTGCCTGAGTACCTTGAGGCGCTGCACCAGTCTCGCCGGTGAGGACTTGGCCCTGAAAACGAACACCTGGGCTATGGCCCGGATCGGCCTTAGCGCCGGCGTCCATTGGTCGTTACAGATAAGCACCTTTTCGGGGAAGGGGCGCACGGGGTGGGGGCGGGGGGGAGGGGGGGCGACGACAACTGAAACCGAAGACTTCAACAAACGCGCAATGTGAAATAGGTGAATGTTCCGAGCTGGTGCTGCAGTAGATAGGTAACAAATCGGAACGCTGGTGTGATGTGCATCTTTACCTTGTGGTGCCTCTGGCACATCGGGTTTCATGCATTTTCTGCACGAACAACGGTAGATACCACAACCAGCGGCATCTAAGTGTACTATGGCATCAACATCTGTCTATCGTGCCTACAGCAAGCAAGGACACAGTGGTGGCAAGCAGCACGTCGTAGCTAAATGGCCGAACGGAACCCTGAGTAAACATGGCCAACAAAGAGACAAAACAAAGATGGGCGCACCAGCGGCCTCGTTAGCGACGTCCTCCGCTTGCCCTTCTTGCCGCCTCCGGCTGCCGCGGTGGCTTTGGCGAGTGGCGCCGTGGCGATGTCCACAAGCACCTGCGCTGCCGCCTTTCCGTCCGCGCCATCAACCTGTCCTCGCAAACAATAAGCAACATCAGGAACAACATCAAAAGGCCAAGAAATCAGCTAACAGACAGCGTTACGGCGAGAGAAGAACAGAGAAAGAATCATTCGCCGCCTTTCGAGGCTCGTTCCCAGACGGTAGATTGTAACGTCTACCAGCAGCGAATTCTTCCATGTGGGCAAACACGTCAACACCCCTACGGGTCTCCCTCGTGAACGACCAGGCTCGGCTTTTCAAATAGGCCATCTCCTAAAATCTCCCAATACTCGCACACGAAACCCTAGAGGCAGAAATCAATCTCCTTCAGCCAAACCCAAGTGGTAATAGAAACCAGAACTCCCTGTCCTTTCATCCGCAACCAGCTCCCCCACCCCACCCCCTCGTCAATTGCATACCTCGTCCAAGACGATGAGGTTCGGGCGCTTATCGGCCAGGAGCGTGTTCCCCTCCATGGCCTCCGTCACGCGCTGACGGAGCACAGACGCCGTGCGGTCATCGCTGGCGTTGATCTCGTACACGCGATAGCCGGCGTGCTTCGCGACCACCTGGGCCAGCGTGGTCTTTCCTAGGCCGGGAGGCCCGCACAGCATGATAATCTTGTGGGTGGTAACGTGATGTTTCGAGAAGAGGGGGGCAGAGCCGAAGGGGATGGGGGGTAGCATGTTCGGGGGAGAGAGAAGGCTCGTGGTTACTGGAAAGTAAAAGAGGTTGATGACGTGCGCGATTTGCACGAAGGACGAAGGGGTAGTTTGTTGCCACTTTCGCCCATTTTTCAGTACGACTCGGGGGGAAATGCTCAGCCCAACTTGTTAACTTCATCGCCGGGCGCTGGCAATCCGACTCATGGTTGACTTGGACGAGCGCTCGACCGTCCACACCCATCCATAATCCCTCCGATCGCCAAGGGAGGGGGCTCATCCTTGTTTGGCTACTTCCATTGTGGGAAAGCTCGCCGCATGACCTCTGCCTGTCTGTCTCTGTCTCTGTCTCTGTCTGTTCTGTCTGTCTGTCTCCCTCTCGTTTTTTCGCTCTCTCTTTTTCTGCCCCTCGCTCTCCGTCTCTCTCCGTCTCTGTCTGTCTGTCTGTCTGTCTGTCTGTGTGTGTGTGTCTCTCTCTCTCCCTCTCTCTCCCTCTCTATCTCTCTCCCTCTCTCTCTCTCTCTCTCTCTCTCTTTCTTTCTCTCTCTCTTTCTCTCTCTCTCTCTCTCTCTCTCTCTCTCTCTCTCTATCAATGTACAACTGCCTTGCATTCATGTCTCTCACCCGCGCCTCCGGTCTCTTGTCCGTCGCATCGCCCTTGGAGGCCATGCTGAGTGGCTTCATCCCTCCCACACCCTTCTTCTTCTCGGCGGTGACAGCGCCCGCCCTGGCTGGCTGTTTTTCAAAAATGCCATATGATACCATTTCCGGATCGAGAAGGCATACGGCATGGCGATGTAGTTCGGGAGGAGGTGGGTGGGGCGTGATGCTTTTCGTTGTTTCGAGATGCATTTCGGCTGCACCGCCGAGACACCGCTACAGCTGTCCCCCCAGTGATGAGGGCACCCCGCAATTCTGCGGATTGGAAAAGCATGCGATCGTGCGGGCGCAAACACCCGTGTACCAACATGCACCAATATGCAACCCTCCGCGTGGACTACCTTCTGAAAATCACTCCGACATCACATACGTATATATTTTCGCGGGAAAAGCAATCAGCGGCCCTCTTGCAGTGAACTCTAGGGAAACCTTTCGAAGGTACACAAATCGGGGGCCTTGTCCAAAGTATCCCCAAAACCTGCCGTCGTAGTCGACATTTCCACGGTCTAGAGGACGAGAAAACATCGGGAGAGGGCAAAAACGATGTGATGGGCACGACACGACGAACAAAAGACGTGCACACGGGCGTTCCCAACTCAAACACACTTTGGCCGCTCACCTCCTTCTTGAAGACGAAGGGATCCCACGCCTTGACGGCCCTCAGGACCTCGCGGTTGATCTTTTCGTCGCTCAACAGGTCCCGGAACCCGTCGGGCGCGTACTTGTCCACCCACAACGCCCCGTCGGCCCCGAGCTTTCCCTTGCTACCCCCCCCACCCCCCCCGCGACTACCGGTGGTAGCCCCTGCGTCCTTTTCTGCCTCCTCCGCGGCAGAATCCCCCGCTGCTGCCGCCGCCGCTGCCGCCCGCTCCTTCGCTGCTGTTTCCACACTCCTCTGTATAACCCGCCGCTCCGTGACCCTCTCCATGAGAGTGGCCATGGGGGTGCGGAGGAGGCTGCCTGACGGGGGGTTGGCGAGCCCCGTGTCGCCTCCAATACTGCTGGTGGCTGTGGTGGTTAGGGTTGTGCGCACCTTGAGGTGCATCATGCGTCCTCCGGACTGTAAAGCCGGGGGGGGGGGGTTCGCCCATGGTGGCGACAAACAGACAGGCATGGGGACGAGGGGGGAAGGAGGCGGTACGAATTCAGGCACGGTCGCTTGCACACACCAATAGCCATATCAGCCAGCAAGCAGGCATGCGTCAGAACGTTATTACTCGCAACGATGCCGTCACCCTGGACGAGACTTCAATTCCAGGTGTTCCTCCGACACCACCGCCACACGACGCGGGCATATTCACTCCTTTCTTCCCCGTGTGATCAACGAGTGGCAACGACGCTGTTACAGCCCGAACTCGTCGACATCACCCTTCCATCCTGTACCAGGACCAGCATCATACGCTACCCCACTATGATACTTCGTACCATGTGTCCCATACAAGAACGTCACACAGCAACACCGCTGAGCAAGCTCCGCACCCCGTTCCTTCCTGACCGTTTACATCACTTCTCCTTGAGCCCTTTCCCAAAACCGACGCGCAGAAGATTCATGTCCACCCCCGCGCACGCACGCAAGCACCTGCATGAACGGCACGCTGTCACCGTTAACCGAGGGGCGGCTGAGAACCGCCCCTTGAGTGTCTATCGCGGCCAACATCGCCGTCACCGCCGCCGCTGACCCTGTTGGATGGGCGGGGCGGGAGGTCGCGCCGCTAGTCTCCGTCTGCGGAAGAAACACGGACAGACAGCATCAGTCATCCGACAATTAAGGGTGCCCGTATGGTGGACGGAGGTAGTGGGGCGCGAGGGCGGGGGTAAACTTGAAATAAACGAACAAGAGGATTCGGGGGAGGGACACCGCCCACCAATATTCTTGGAGGGAACGTCTCATTCACAGTAGGCAAGGTCCTCTCCCGAGACTTGAGTGTGCGCACGAAATTGATCAGAAAAGTCGAAAAACAACGTGAGCGTAGAAAGTCCAAAACCAAAAACTGCCGTGCTCAAAAACTGCCGTGGTCTGCCGCGCTTTTCCCTCGTCACGTATCAACTAAGGCAGTACGTCGCGCTTGAGTGTTCCCTGCCATGTCTTGCCTTTTGGGATCGAAAATTCCTCGTCGAGCGGCCTCTGGCGGCGTCATCCGGTGCCGAGCGGTTGCCGCTCCAACGGCTACTTGAGTCGGTCTGCAGCACCGGATGCAGCGGGCTTGTGCCGCTGTTGTCGTGAGTGTTGTGCACACGGGAAGTACAAGAGCGGAGAAAAAAAACGCACGACCCCGCCAAGCGAAAGCGAGAGCATCGGGGTAAGGTTAAGGGGCAAATGCATGGACATTTTCGTGGCCGGGCGATGACAACAAGTGCATTTTTCGCTCTGTCAATTTGGAGCTCTGGCGATACACAGAGAAAAAAAGAGAACCCACAGCACGCAGACACAGAACATCAAGTTTAATACAGCAAACCGTTGAGTGTCACGTGCTAGACCGTGGTCCAAGTCGGACGGATTCCGCGCCACTACAAGCCCTTGAGCACGGCCGATTGGTTCACCGCTATAGAGGACATGCAGCGGTTGAGAGTCGGCGAACAAACCCGGATGACACGATAACAGCGCCCTCGTAAATTATCTACCTACGTGCCAGAATTCCGATCGTGTCTGACACTTTTGGGGCAGTCGGACACCACTCGTGCCCAATTTGTCCCTGGCGCACGGGGCAGCGCAGTCTTCAAAAATCGTACCACGCACGAATGGCTGCGCGCCTTCTTTTTCCCTCTAACCTTCAAGTTGACACACAACCCACGCACCTCCGCCCCTCGTTGTTCAGCGCCATCCTGACTCTCGCGGCAGCGTCGCCGTCGCCCTCGTCCACCGAAGGGTGCGGCGAGCCAACCTCGCCAGGTGGCACGCCCAAGCGCTGGTCCAGGGGAGGAGGGCTCGGGCAGTAGTTCCTGTTGAGGCCTGCCGCCGCCGAGGCAAGGCCGTCGGCCGCCGCGCCGATGCCGAGGCTGACACCGACGCCCGGCCCGAGGTTCGTGCTGCCGCTCAGCGGTGTTCTCGTGGCAGCCTGGGTGAGTTTTTTTTCGTTCCAGCAGGTACATAGTGTTGGCGGGTGGTCGCGAGCAGAACGTTTGTCATGGAAGCATGGCGTTATACGGCAAGGGGGGAAGCGTGTGGGAATTCAGTGCGCGTGCTATTGCGGTGTGGTCTGACTGGAATTCAGAAACATCCTATCGTATGTTGCGTGCTTGAGTCGGCCCCAAGAGGAAGTCGAGCGCGCAAAAAGAAAAATGGAGCTGTTCGGTCAACCGCATACAGTCGCATGTTCTCATGCAGCAATAGCCAGCGGATGCACGTCCCCGCCTGCCCAAAAGCAACTACAGGAATGTAATTCAGTTACGCTTTCTCAACTACCCGCTCACGTGTCCCGTACGATGGGGGTAGGTGCTAATTTGCTAGAGATCACGGCGTGACGCCGTACGTTGCATAAGATACCGCACCCCCTTGGCAATTCTCAAAGGTCCGAATACTCGTCAGGCATTCCAGTGATGGCGCCGAAACCGCGGCGATAGGACCTTCTCGTCGAGAGTCTTCCCAAAACCGTACATGTTGATCTTGGTATCCTCTTCGTGGTGGAGCAATCGAGCATAGAAAGTCGGAAAAAACGGGGGGTGGTATCTACAGCAACGGAACGCGGCATTTACAGCAGTCGGGCTCATCTGCCGTTACGCCAAAATGCTTCCGTGGTATGGCCTTGTATATGAGGCGAGACACGAAAGCATTGACGCCACAACGGCAGCTAGAGTTGAGGGAGCTGTATAGAGATGCGAGACCTGTACACTCTGTATACAACCCGCTGGAAGAAAAGACAGCATGCCTCATATTGCAGAGGACACCACACCCCCCAGTGAGATTTCAAAGTTAGACGCTGACATTTCGACATCAAGAGGGATTGCCAACATCAAACCATGCGTCCCTTGACGTATGCCGACACCATATTTCCAGTCAAGCCCTTGTACTTGCACATTGCGTACCTTAATATTTCCTTTGGAGATAGATCAAGCTTGGGAAAAGGGGGTTATATCGGTTGTATCTTACAGCAGCGGCGGCAACCCCGTTCGCGCGCGTTTCTGTGGAGTCAACGTTTGAAACAAATTATGCATCAGACGCCCTCCAGCCCCCAGCAGAACGGACTGCAACGAGGGTCCAGGGTGGACGAGTACAGTAGTGGGAAGAATCGATGGTTGCCTCAGCTCCCATGGCGAGCTCCGCTTACACGTACACAACTTGCGCACCTCAGCTTCCATGGCGAGCTCCGCTTCGATGTCGTCCATCATAAGCTCATCGTCGTACATCTGATGCTGCTCAGCGTCTGCCAGGAGGTCGTCAAAGTCTGGTTCATCTTCCATGATGATAGGATACGCCTTTCTGTCTCTCCTTCGTCGATGGAGCTATGTAAACACGCACGCGCTTGCGTGGGTGAGGGAGAAAGCAGGTGGAAACGGAGTCGTAGTCTCTGTGAGCTGTGAGCCAAGATTTGAATTTTGTAAGGCCAATGAAAATCGAACTCCTGTTCCCGTTCGGCATGGTTCACCTGAAAACGTTGTGCCGATTCGTCAACGTTTGCGGGACGGGTACTCGGGTACTGCTGTAGTTCTGTAGGTCGTTCTTTGATGTTATGTATAGTTTCTCAGGCTGGGGACAGGCAAACAACACGCCAACTCTCGGACCTTACGGTTGATTGACGTAGACACCGCAAGGAACAAGGAGTTTGGGTGATTTGGAGTTTTTGCCAAACCAGAGCACTTTACCTTCCCACCGTACCACATGTACACAGAAGCGAGCAGCAGCCTCGTGTAAGCACTCGGTAGGCTATCTTATAGACTACACGTTCAGAGACTGCTGTAGTCTTTAGGGCTACCCGGCGTGGCTTGATTAGCTGGTCGAGCATGCAGGAAGTGGCGGTGCTGTCTCAGTGACCGCTCTATCAAGTCTCGATCTTGCCGAAAGCATGGTTGGTGCTCAGGGAAGGCGTCAACTAGGCGACGAGATCCCAAAGCAAATGGCGGACACCGGGCAGGGAGCAGTCACGGGGGCGTGTGATGCTGTCGTCGGCGAGGTTAGCCTCGGAAGCCCATCTGCGACTGCGCGTTGTTGTAGTAGCCCGAGGAAGGGTGGTGTACGGGAGCAGTTCCGAGAACCAGGGGGGGAAAGACAACGGGGTAGGCGTAGACCTCGCGATCAACAGGTGAGACGCCTCGGGCGCTTCTGTGATGCTTGTCAAGCCACGCGAAAAAGATGCGTGTACAGAGCAGAATGCAGACGAAGTCAGGAACGAATGTCCAAACTGCAGTTGTTTTTCTCTATGGGAGAACATATACACCATCTTGTATTGTAATGGGGATGTGTTGAAGGGCATATATACTGCAGTGTGAAGATTGAGGAACGGCGGTTGGAGACTCGTGGTCCGTACTTGATTGAAAGTTCTTCCCATACCTGTACTGTATGTAAAGGTTCATTCCCACCGGCCAGACTACAAATAGGTCTCCGGATGAAGACGATCCTTGTCTGCACATTATTTCGTCGTGTTGGAAGGTTGCTACAGTACTCCTTCTTTTTACAAAACAGTAGCGTGTCTCCTTCATCCACAAGACAGCAGTAACGAGTCGGGCGCTGCATTTTTATATGAAGACTACCGCAAGTCTACATAATGATTTCACGATATCTTCCTGTGCATTGTAGCCGTACAGATACACATACTCCCAAGCGAAGTCTGGCCGGCGAATTCCCTTAGGTTGGGACATTTTTGCAAAGTACAATCAAGACCACCGAATGCTCCGAACATTTGGACAAGTTCTCACAAACGATATTATCGATTTTTCGCCGCCAACGCTATCGTCTAAGGCAAGGGTTGCCAACAAATAGGGTAGTCAGGCCTCAACGGTGTCTGTTTAGGTACGTATTTGTGAAGCGCAGGGACGCCACTGGAGATGGGACTTACAATGAGGTGTGCTGAATCTAAGGAACGTCGGCCAGAAACATATACGAAAACGACAGAGTATAGACTAAAGATAAAGCTTTGGGAGTTTAGGCAGCACATCTTGTAAGGCTCTACCAACGACGAACTTCAAAGGGGACACCCTTGGGTATGTCATGTGCAAGCAAGCCCACATTCCTTCCACAGGAAAACATCGCCGTATGTAAAGATAACACATGGCTGAGTTACGTGTTCGGTCACTCTCAAGTGTTCGGAAGCCACGAAAGATAGGAAATGGCGCTCGTTACGATTTATTGCTACCCAGTCTCAATGCTTGTCCGCTGCTATTCTATCGCGTAGGTCCAAGACGCGAGAAGAGGTGATCCTAGAGAAGGAGGGGAGCCAGGAAAGGAATATCGTCCAGACGGACAGGCGACGGTCAGCATGATGGGAAAAACCATAAATCTATCGCTGTACCCTAGGCTGATGTCGATCCTCACCGCCACAGACGATCTTCATCCGCACCTGAGAAGCTTCGGGTGGCTCGTCAAGCGCATGGACGAGCTGTATGATGCCAGGCGAGAGGACATGATTCATGCCGAGCCCAAGCCTGGGTAGTAGTCACAGCATTCTTTCTTTGTGGCAGGGAGTGGAAACGCTCAGAACCTCATCCAGGCTAATCGAGCGCATGGAAGGGCGCAATGCGTGGGGTGGTGCAATGGGATACAGAATGGCCTTCTGGTGCGACTACTGCTTTCGGGTGGTTACAAACCGCGGTTCAACGATAGAGGTGGTTTGCCGTCTTTCCTTCCATCTGGTCCTTGTACGCGATACTCAACCCGGAGGTTATCATTGTCTTTGAAATGTCGTTCATGGGCGCACTTCTACCAGACGGCGGGCGGAGCAGGCGATCTTCAGCGCGGAAGAAGACTACCTCAACCTGGACTCTGGCTCACGCAGGCATCTCTCCTTCCCGGTGTTCGCCTACAAGCACTTCAAGAACCGACACGGTATCAAGCTCATGGTTCGCTCGGTAAGCTTGTTATCAACGAAGAATGCCCACACGTTAAAAAAATCAGCATTTCCTACGGTCAGCAAAATGAAGCTGGTTGTTTCGAGTACACTGCAAACAGCATCCAAACCCTTCGTGGTGGACTCAATATGCGAGAAAAACAATGTATCGCATCTCAGGGACAACTGGATGATTCTGGATCTGCCTGATTGTCTCCGTACTTTTCTTGCGCTTCTTTGGTAATTCAACCCTCCCCGTCGATACGGACGTCTGTCTTACACGGTTTGTGATACCAGTCGTCTGCAATAGAAGTGTTGTATTGGTACCCCGGCAGTGACGAGAGCGATGACGCAAGACCGAGCATCCCACTCAAAGTTTCCTTTTTCCACATGCCTCGACGTATGGGCAAACATACGGGCCTTCCTCTTGTTCTATAGGTTTGCCTGGATTTGGTGTGCAACGTACAGTTCTACCGAAAAAAGCAACCGGAGGTGGAGGTGTTCGCCCGCTTCATGGAGGAATTCTACGGCCAGAAGGAGCTGTGTTTCTTCCTGTAAGAATAGTAGTCCTAGTTCGTGTTTAGGCGTATGTATTTCGCCCACGTGGTCCCTGCGTGAAGACCTCATGAACATGATGGACTACACGGGGGCGAAGAAATAGCAAATCACTTCATGGCCACAATTTTGAACACACGGGGTGCAAACAATCAGAACGAGCCTGTGTTTGACTGTTTGCCTTGCTTTGTGTATCGTTCCCCGCGCGGTGAACCATTTAGGGAGCAACAATGCTGCTCTCGTGTGTTGCCCGATACACGCCTTTGTTTGGCCCCAGTGCCCTCGTCGGCACCAGGTAGCTGACACTGTCGCCTCTCGCACGCACACTCTTGTTTCTTACCTCGACAGTCATGTTTCGCCTTTTTCGTTTCTTGATCGACCACTCTCTTTCTCCCCCCCCTCGGAAGGGACCTGAGAGCGGAAGCTCACCGTGTGACACGCGTGGGCGCTCGACCGGTGGTAGTGGTGAGTGGCCACACATCGTTTCCCGCTAGCGTGCGTCTGTTGAGCTCCTTCCTTCCGTCCCACTCTCCCGTGCTCGACCGGGTCACCACCTCAAGACTTGAACAGTGTTCAAAATCGACTATTTCGCCGACAAGCTGTCCTTTAGGTAGAGGGCATGGGTCAGAGAGAAGTCTGTTGGGCTTAGGCATGTGGGCTGCAACCTGTTTTTCTTCCTATTTGCCTTGTCCAAGTAGACAGTTTAGGATGCCGTTGACACATGATATTTTCCCGCGACACCGGGTAGTTCAGGAGTTCACACCCATGGCCGGGACGACGGGAACGCTGCGTTGCCACAACACGCGATAGATGTACGGGGAAAACACTTCAAAAAGAAGCGCGTTACGACACAATCACATATAGAGACGACTAACCGCAGCAGTCCTTCAACAAATATGCGGTGCCATGCAAGCAAGGCATGCTTGGACCCAGCTTCCTTGTTGTGCGCCTGTCTCAAATCTCACGAAATATGCCAATTTCTTTATGTCTTCCCCGCACGGGTTTTGTTAGGGGACGCAAGCCGTATGGATGACCCTCCCGGACTGCGTCAGAGTCGCCAAAGGGGTGTTCTTCGACTCCACCACGCTGTACTTCAGGGATCTCATTGCTACCGTTAGTGATCAGGTCAGATTGTATGTAGGGTGACACGGGGATATTCCGGGGCAGGTGTAGGGCTGGGGAGTTGTGACGAGTAGCTCAGCCCAAAAAATGACGGCTGCACCGGATGCAAGATTTCTGAGCTTTAGTGAAGTGCTTCGGCGTGGTGCATTTGACTTTTCCAGGGTGATTAACGCTGCCGTGCACCAAACGAAAACACACACCAAACCTGGCAGATGGAAACGGCCGGACCGGGCGGACGAATATCCTTGTCGGCCTTCCTGTACCTCGCCTTGGTGTGTTTCGTATCCCCGAAGGATCCGTCCGATGGCTCTCTGCAACAACATCATCAACAGAATCAGAGGTCTCCGAGACAGGTTCACGGCCTCACGTCAGCAGCGGCCTCCGACGGTCGTTTGTTTGTTTGCCATCGCGGGAAGGAGGGTGCTGGTATCAGCACGGTCGGGTGCGTGGGCAGGCGTGGCGGCAAAAATGGCTGTCACACGGAAGACCTCGATTCCGCCGGCGTCGGTAGTGCTCGTGGCCGTAGCTTGGCCGCCTTCTCCCCGTCCTCTACGATCACGCCCTGGGATAGACGTGCTCTTGGAACGGCAGCCGCGAGTGGGGGCGCTCAAGACAGGAGCGGCAGCTTCTTCGGAAGTAATTCGGCAGCGGTGGCAGGAACCAGAGATGATGGGTTACCATCACCCTCGTCGGTGAGTTGTTTTGAGTATGAGGCGTTCGCAACTTGTACCTAGTACCACACCG